GGCTCAGTAGGTGAGGACAGGAAAAAAGGGCAGGAAAGCTACGTTTCTTGTCACCAAGACACCAGCTTTGTGCAAGGTACTTAACCACTTGGCATGGAGCATTTCAGTTTGCTTGGCCGCTTTGCAGCAGGGATCCCGCTTGGCAGTCCTGGGAGCCATGGAGCTCTCACTGGGTTGGCACTGAGCATCTCTGATTTTCAGTCTGCCTTACTTCCCTTTGAGATGCATGTATTGTTGTTTGCCTGTTGTCTTCCTCCCTCAGGAAAGAAGAGAGATGATTCTCCCTTCCTGCCCCAGTGTTTCTTCTTTTATCAGGACCCTCTCAGCATGGTGTATACCAATCACGCTGCGCTTCGTGCCAGTATATGGCATTGTACATCCTCAGGTCCTGCCACCCTGCCCTGCGGAGTGGAGCCTGTCTGTATATCACTTGCTGTGTACACAAATGCTTGAGCTTCTTTTTCTTGCTTTGTTGACATGGCGTATCATCAGGCCTCCTGCTGTGTTACCTTACCCACCCCTGTGCATTGTTGCCTACCTACCCTTATAGGGGCAAATAGGCCTCTCGTGATTGTATGCCTCCATCAGTGCTAGCTTGGGAGTTCTCCCATTTGCCTGGTGGCATAGCAGAATTGGCACAGGGCTGAGGGTCTGCCCTGCCTGTGTGATGTATGGAGTAGCGTCTCTGAGCAACCACAGTTACTCTGGCTGTTAGTTACTCTTGCCTACTACAGGATTACTTTATGTTCAAGAATGAGAGTTATCCCCTGCGGTGCCCAGAGAGGCTGTTCCTGCCAGGGATGTGTGTGAGAACTGGGACTTCAGAGCTCTTCAGAACCCTTGTCTCTCCCTGCAAGCAGCAGATTGTGTGTGGAAGAGAGTAGAGAGCTTCCCCTTTGCTATTGTGGTGGGTATCAGGTCCCAATCCATCTGAGCCAGCCCCGCAGCCAGGGCAATTCACATAGGAAAGGGAGGAGAGGGGCTGGTTCTTGCAGCTTCGATCTTAGAAGAAAGCCTCCTTCTACATGGCTTCCTCTTAGCATAGCTTTGAGGGATGCTTTTCCCCCAGGTACATGGGGGGGTCCTCTCCTGGCTCAGCTGCTGGCCCAGCACCCTAGACAAAAGCTGTCTAGTGTGTAGGGTAGCTTGGTTCTCATTCCCAGATTCTCCTTGGGGCAAGGCAACTATAGGTTGGGGGGTGTGGAGGAATTACCAAGGTGACAAACTCTTGACATGGGGCCTCAAAGGCTGAGAACCAAGAGAGACTGGAAAACTCAGGCAGGAGCTGAGCTTGTTTGCGCTACATGAAAGAATAAATAAAGGACAGTGGTGGGGGGAAATTATGTCATTTCAGGAGGTGGTCTGCATGTAGGACCAACTGGGATGAATCTGCCTCATTGGTTTCCTCTGTGGGCTGGAGCAGCTGCAGGAACTTCTATCTCCCCCGCTTGCTACACACCAAAGAAAAGAGCTTAGGGTTGATCTTGTTGCCCCCTCTGAAAGGCCCAGATGTTCTCAAATACTTTGCATTGCCTGGGCTAGGTCCTTTTCTTCTTGGAGCAGCAGGAGAGGAAGGAGCATGGGCACAGAGCCAAAACCTACCACAGACCCAGAGGGTAGACCTGGGGTTGGACCAACTCAGATCCTCACTCCTGCTTCTCTGCTTTGCTTTGCAAAGGTGTGGTAGAAGAGCTAGAGCCCAAGAGGTCAGTGCTGGTGATTGGTGTTGAGGAACAGGGGTTGTGTGGAAGGCATCAAGGTGACTGGTCTGCAGTTCTGGCAGCAGGAGGAACCTCCATGGGAAAACTTTGTCTTCCTGAACTTGTAGTAAGTGCCTGCTACTCAGGGTAGCGGTGGCGCAGTTTGGGAAGGGCCTGTCTTGCATATAACAGATCAGGGTAAGTTGGTATGGGCAACTTGGAGGTGGAAAGATCAAATCCAGTTTTGTTTTGGAAGCAGTGTTTTGGCAGTAGTTAAACAGATCAGTTGAAACCTGGTAATTATTGCAGCTGCAAGTGGCAAAAAACAAAACCTAAACTCAGCATCTCACTAAGGTACTTAACTGTTAATTTCCAGGAGGGAGAGTCACCCTTCCCAAGCCACCTCAGTTGGTTCACTTTGTCTCTCCCTCTCCTGATTAGATGGATAGAAGCAGTGCTTTGTTTATGAGGAGCAAAATCCTGCTCCCTCCTGCCAAAGCAAAGGAGCCGCTGGTATTTTGCTCTCCTTCCTGCAACTAAAGTTTTTCCTGTTCAGGACAGGCTCTGTGTCTGCAAGTTCTCTCCTAGGGTGTCTTCCTCTTCGGTGGGAGAAGTTCCTCAAAAATAAGGCTGAGCACTTTCAGAGAAGCTTATGTCTTCATAGCCTGCTTTAATTCACACCTTCCCTTGCTAGGGTGTAGTTCCCATTCTTGCCTTCACTTCTTGCTTGCTCTTCGCTAACTTCACTGGCCAAAGGCATCTCCTGAATCAACCTGGCAAGCAGGTACATGCTTTGCATTGAGCTGTAACGATGACACTCCTGCTGTTTCAAACTGGCTCTCCCTCACTGTGTCCTGTGCCAGTGTTCTCCCCTAAATATTGTTCATTGGCTGCCCTCACCTGGCATGGGAAGTGACCCTGGAGAAAAAGATTTATTGCTTTGCCCAGAGAAATCCGATTTCATGCAGCGCTCACAGCCGAGCAGCCCGCTTAGACCAGACGGCCTTGGAGATCACTACCACTACGACTTAGCTAGGTTATCCTGAACCTATTTATAGATCTCTTCCTGTTCCCAGCTCCACCCACTGTAGAGTTTTACAACACAGCTTTAAAGTAGGATTCCTGGACTCTCTTCTTCCTGGAGCATATTTGCATTGAGCTGGCTGCTCAGACTCCCTGGTGCAGATCTCGAGGAGGAGGAGGGGTCAAGACCCTAGCAACATGTTGGAAGCCAACAGTAATACAGGCAGCAGGGCATGTCTCCCACCTGTTGTGGTGAGCTCAACACACAACTGGCATGGTGAGCCAAAACTCCTCTGTAGGAGGAGGAAGCAAAGTGCTCTGCTTTTCCAACCTTGGAGGCAACTGAGGAAGTGGTCTCAAAGCAGCCTGTGGAATTGCTTTATTTGGTGGTTTTAGCTCTACTTAGGGAAAAACAGCTATTAACCTGATGGAGCTTCCTTCCTTCTCTTTAGCTCTGCCCCTGATGAACTGTATGTCTCTGTATTTCTCCTCAGCTCACTTTTTTTTTTTTTTTTCCCAATCTGGTAGATTCCAAGTCTTGAGAGGAGAGTTGGAGTTTATTCTCCTGAGAGGCCTCTTGGTTGCATCCTCTGTTTCTTTGCTGCCACTGTGCAGCATAGCTTTTGCATATACTGCTGGTTCTGGGGTAGCGGTTGAGGGCCGAGGCAGAAAGTCTTTATAGGTGTGAGACAACTGATATCTCCAGTTAGACTTAAACGGATGATACTTGGAAATACTCTTCCCCTCACGTTGCATTGCTTTCATTTAGCCAGGAAAATCTATTTATTACAAACTAACTGTCAGGAAAAGAGAGGGGAAATGCAAGGGACCCTTTTTGGCTGGACCTTGATGGTGGCCAGGAAGCAAAAGTAAAGTGTGGAAATGTGTTATCTTTAGTATGGCTGATGCACAGCAGCCAGGCAGACCAATTACAGGGAGAAAATCTAGGTGGGGAAAATAATGTTCCTGGACACTTTTCTTTTTTTTCTTTTTTTTTTCTTTTTTAAATGTAGGCTTTGCAGATTACAGAGAAGAAACCATGAAGGAAGTGTTAACGTTCTCCATTTAATGGCCTAGTACATATGCATTCCGGTATTAAACTGCTAGCAAAACTACACCTGCTCCCTGAACTCCAGCATTCTAGAGTCTGTTTTCTACCAAGGCTTTTCTTGATCTTTTAGAACAATCCTTCGATTGAAAAGCTATATTTTTGGTAGTCTTTGTTTCAGCCTTTTTATGGCACTGAGTAGTTTCTTCACAAAGGTCTTTCTGCAGTTCATTCATCTCTATAAATCCTGGTGAATAATTGAATAATCTCTGTGCTAATTTTTTCTTCTTCCTCATTTCTTTCTTTTTTTTTTTTTTCCGCTCTGATAAATGTTCCCTTGATCCACTCCTCCTGACATGCATCCAGATTGCCATGTGTTTTTCCTTTAAGGAGAGAGGTATATATTTAAAGTTTTATAATGTTAGAGAATAAGAGATGTTTGTGGCTTAATTTTGAGGATGCTAAAAGAAAATATTCTAAAAAATAGGAAAGAGACAGGGAGAAAAGGAAGAACAATCAAAGCCCCAACCCAGCTGTTTAGGGGGAGGGGGATGCTGAGTATCTGCCAAAAATTGTCTTGAGCTGAAAGAAAGTATTTCATTGCACTGTGAGAAACAGCTGCAGAAAGCATGCTCATGCAGATGCCCAGTCTCTGGTTTCAGCCTTACTGTGGTGTTAATGGGAAACAGGAAAAGACAGATATTTTATGTACAAAAAACCAAAATTTCCTCACCTCAGACAACTTGTCAAATTGTGCTCCTCAAAGCTGATGTAATTAAAAAGCTAGCGTGCTAGTTAGAGCTTGGAGCTTTCAGAATGACCTTTTTGTGCTTATGATTCCCAAGGGCTGCTGGTTTGGGCTCTAGGCAAGACTTTTTGTCCCCTTCTCTGCTACTTTACATGGTGTGTAGGGCTTTCTGCTGGGCTTCTGGTGTGCTTTCCTCCACTAGTCACGCAGTTTCCCTCCCACCTGAGTCTGTGAACTCCTGACGCTTAACTAATGAGAGCCTCTTACCCTGTACCCCTCATCTTCAGGCAGCAAAAGCTGGCTTCAGTAAAACAGCGCTTCCCATTCCTGTAAGTGCTGTGATGGGAATCCTGGTCAGAGCATGCATTAATAGACTTCTAAAACTGGAGGATGGTTGCTTAAATCATACCTTATATTTCTCTCTCTTTTTTCTTTTCTTTCTTTTTTTTCCCTTTCTCTTTATTTTTCAATTTTTGATCAGAACCGGCCTTCCTTTCTCCAGTGTGTTGGGATCTTTACAGCAGCCCATGCTGCAGCGCCTCGCCTATTCCACTCGAACTGCCTGCACCGCTGGCTTGGACCTAACCTAGGATAAATCTCGGCGTGGCCTGGGTAGGGGGGAACCATGGGGAGCTCTGCCTCATCGCTGGCCGCAGAGACGGAGTCGGACCATGGCTTCACTAGCCCACCCTACCCGGGGCACCCAGCTGTGGGCTGGTATAGGAGTAGTCACAATGGCCCAGTTTGGGAAAGTGCCCTTATAACACGGCAGCATCAGCATTTACACCACCGGGTGCGAAGGTAAGGAGGAGGGGAAGGAGCCTGCTTACCTCTCAGCTTGAATTCAGGGCAGTGCATTTGGGAGAGAAATTGCTTTGCATCCTATTGGTGCTGTGTCCTTTCATACAGAGGCTGAATACTAATACCTGTGAAATCTAGAGTGAAACTTGAGTGAGGCCAGGCCACATCCTTTTTACAGGGCTGCTGATGTCTCCTGCAAAGCAGACTACAGGGCTTACCTCAGCTCTTCCTCACTCACCTGAATTGTGAAGCTGGCTGCCTGGGAATAGGATCTCAGTTCCTTTAAGGAGTTTGCCATGCTTTTGTTGCTTGTGGCTCTTCTTCTTTTTGACCTCCCAGCTGATTGTTTTAGAAGTATCAGATATGGAGAATTCTCTCTCCAGGTTGGGTAGGGATAAGGAGCAAGAATTTCTGAACTTGGAAGAGCAAGAGATACTGTTTTCATACAAAAGCAGTGAAATGCTTTGAATGTAGATCCAGGGGAAAAAAAACATACCAGAACAGAAATAGTCTGGAAAAGAACTCAGTGCTTCCTACCTTCAGTGTCTGTCCCTCCTCAATGAAATCAGCACCTAAAGCTGTGGCCCTCAGTCGCTGGCTCTGCCCCTTCCCCAGCAGCCACTTGCAGTGAAGAATCTTTCTTCTTATTAGAGGGCTGGTGTTCTGCATTCAGTCTCTGACAGGTTGAGAGATATGTCAAAAGCATCTAACAATCCTCTGCCTGGGGGCTTGGCTGCAGAGGCTTCAGTGTTTTGTGCTAATAATATTTGAGCCTTTGTCTAATGTCTGCTTTACGTAGATTCCCACCTGGCTGGGTTTTTGTTCTTGCTTGAGTCTGTTTGTAGCCCCTAGTCTTTTAGGAGTAGCTGCTTGCTTTTGAGTGTCTCTGAGCTGTTGTGGCTTTCCACTGAAGGCGTTTGCTGTTATGGTCATGCTATATCTGTTGTGTAGTCCTTGTTTTCTTGCCTTGCTGCTACTGTGAATTCCAGCAAGTCTGCTTTGGGGCATCTGGCATAAGATTCAGGGAGACTATAAGGAAAACAACATCATACTTTGCTCCTTTGCAGCCCTATCTTGGGTTTCCTTGTTGAGCTGGTAGCATTATGAAACCAATTAGTTGTTGGCTTTGCCTTCAGTCATGGACTTGAGTTCCTAGCAATGCCCAAGTGGGCCTTAAAAGGGCTATTTTGTGTATGTCTTAACCGTTATTTCTGTGTGTACCAGCCTTTGTGGCTGGCCCGCAGTTCTGTTTGGTGAATCTATGCTGCGTAGGTTTGTCTTGTCTTGTTCAGAGGGATCCTGGCCACAGAGCTGGGTCCTTCCTGCAGGGTTATTCCTTCTGGCCTGCTGCTTTTTCTCTGTTGCCTTGGAGGAGCTGAGAGATGTGTGAAGGCTCACAACTGAATATCCTGGTGCAGATATGCACAGCCAGGATGGAGGTTTAGGAGCTTCCAGTGCAAAACTGGTACTCAGCACTGAAAAGGTTGTGCCTCTGTAGCCTAGTGTTTGTCAACTGTGTGTGCTGCTCGTGATTCAAAGTCTGTAGCTTGGAGGAGCTTGAGAAGCTGTGAGATCCTGACGTGTGGGCATAAATTTCCTAGATGATGGGCCTTCATGACGGAGCAGGATGTTGGGGCAAGAACAGGAACCGCTGGTCTCTGTGCAGATAAAGCCAATGTCCTGTCAGAAGAGGTGTGTTTTCTTGATAATTATGCATTTCCCCCTGATAAAGGGAGAAGAGCAGTCATGTAAGTGCCACATGGTTCCTGGAGACAGGAAAATAGCTGGCTGTGATTCACCAAGGAACAGTTGTGTGGGAAGAACACACTTTAGGCAGTGATTATGGAATTGGGTTCAAAAGACCTGGTGAAAACAGTCAGCCTGTCAGGCATCAAAGTGCCCACAGTTCCTGTGGTGAGACTGATGAAACAGTGTGAAGAAGCAACAGCCGATCGGTATCAAGAGAGGAACAGATAAACACTTTCCTTTAAATGTAATTAAATAAATAGAAAAAGTCAGAGTAGATAGCTCTGCCTCTGAACATCCTTATTCCTGGAGTCGTGTAGCGCAGGAAGGAAGTGGAGTACTGGAGAGTCAATTTGAGGCTGGACAGGAGATCTGGGGTATCCCTACGGCACAAGGACCGATAATGCTTTGGCTGCTGTAGACAAATGCAGAGCCAAGCGTACTCTGGTCTGTCCAGTGCTTTGGGGATGAACACTGACCTTCTTTGACAGGAAGATAAGGATGCAAGTACTTCATGAGTGACTTTAGTTTGTACTGGATAGGGGAATGGGAGGAGGCTTCCCTCATGGTGGGCTGGGAATAGGGGAATAAATCGGTGCTGTCTGGCTTTCAGGATTTTAGAGGCTGGGAGGAAGCAGACGCAGTGTCTTAAGAGATGGATCCTGTTGCCTAGGTGAGGCTGGTAATCTAGAGTACCGCTTCTGGTGAAGATAGCGGATGTAGGGGGATATGAGAAAGAAGAGGAAAGACCTTAGTGGTAGAAGTAGTAGCTTGAGACTTTTGATACACAGATTTGGGTCCCTGTTCCCTCCTGGGCCAGGCTGCACAATCTCCTTCCATGTGTCAGAGTCCCATCTCTTTAAAATGAGTATGTGCCTGCCTTTCGCAGTGAGCTGGGAGGACACAGCTAGTTAAAGACTAAAGGAACTGTGCATTAATGCATAAGAGTGAAAGAAAGCTTATTGCTGAAATCCCTGCTTAGGGCAAAGATTTTATTTTTAAATACATCTTTGGTAGGTATGTGCACATTCCAGACAAATTCTGGCTTAGTTGGAAGTCCCCAAGGGCTGTCTTGGCTTGTATGCTTAAAGATATCAGGCCTAGGCTGTCTTTGGATGAGAGCATACAGTGCAGCCAGCAGATGCAGAACTTACTGACTGTAGCTTACTAACTAGCAGCTACATGCCGAAACCTTCATAAAGGTGAGAGCAGCAAGGCATGGTGCCAGAAGTCCCAGTGCTGGTGGGTAGCACATAACCCTGTCTCTGTGACTGCAATTGAATTGCTTGTGAGCCTTGTGTTGGTGACAGCTTCTCTTGGTGCTGCTGGAACTGGTGATGGCAGCTCTCAGGTGTGTATCCTTCAACACCTATCAAGGTGTTCGGAGGGATTTAGGGCACTGGACTGCCTTCTAGATGAGATTTAAGAGAGTATTTCTGTTCACCTAGTCTTCATGCCCCATCGTTCATAAAGAGTGGCAACAGGCTTATGTCCTGGCCAAATTCTTGATGGTTTTCTTCCACGTAACCGCAGGCAGATGGGACGTTCCCTGCCTGACCTGCTGTGTTTGCTGTTTGTTGTGAACTTTTCAATGTGGCATGTCCCAGAGCTCGATATGTATTAGCACTAGGCTGGTGGATTGGAAGTGTTCATGGGTTGCAGAGCACTTTAGACACCATGTGGAAGGGCTTATAGCAGTGAGAATTGTTTGAATTTGCTCCACTCAGGAGACGCGTTTTGGGGAAAGTGTTGTGAGATCTGTGTGGCTGAATTTGAGCATCTCTGTCCACTATTCAGTTTGGTTGGAAGCTCTTCTGAGCACCTTCCTCTCAGAAAGTCTGCATTTTATGGGGTACTCAGCTGAGAAGCCCTCAGCATTCTGCAAAGGCTTTACATTTTTCAATAAAAGCCTCTTCAAAATGAAGCACCTCTTGCACAACTGTGGTAGCAGGGGAGGAATAGACAGGTTTGTTTTTTATTTGTTTGTTTGTTTTAATGCTAAAAGTTTATGTATGTCTCTGCTTTGAGAGGACAGAGTGAGAGGACTTGCTTTTATTATTGGCAGCTGGTGGGAGGGTACTTGCTGTACACCTCCCAAGAGCCGTGGCTCTGCTGCTCTCCAGAAGCGCTGCTTAATTCTGGAGAGAAACCTGGAGTGAGGCATCCAGGTGTTTGTAAATGCCATGGCTTAAATATATGTAAAGAAACAAATCAGAACTACTAGGTTAACATCACACAGTCCTGTCTGGGGTTTTTGAACCTTCTTGAAGCTTGTGGGGATGTTAATTGGGGATACTGACATACTGATGAATGGCAAGGAGCCATATGGAAGGGAATTGCAGTTGCTTGCAACTCCTTCCCACCCTCCTGGTTTGTAGCATTTCACTTCTGAGGGAGGTATAAGCAGAACTGGCACCTAGAGGACATGTTTCCTGTTGGGGGAAACCAAGGCCCAGAGGAGAAGTGAGACGTTCAGAACTGGGGAGAAAAGCTGGTGGCAGAGCATGAGATTACTCTGCAGAGTTCTCCTGCTTCTGCTTTCTGTTATTAGATCACAGATAGATGCATCAGCCTCA